AAAATATTATGCAGATAAGTACCTTATCGAATTTTTTGAAATGTAATTTTTTAACTATTCAAATGACGTCTTCTAAAAGTTATGATAAAGATATGTACTTTAAGATAATGTATAATACTCGTATACTTCTTGTGACTTCGAAAGATTTTTTTGTTAACATACAAAAAAAATGTGCATACATAACGTATATAATATATTATTTAATCTTGTGTAAGAAAACGGTAAATACTTTTTGTCCAACCCAATATTTAAGAGGTTATTTTATAGCACTAACATTTACATCAATATCATTACTGACATTATCTTAAGAAGGCCATACGTATAATTGATGGAATACTTACATGTATAGTTATTATGCAATATATACTTATTGTACTTTTTGTTTATATATATCCAAGCTTAAATTTTTGCGAAGAAATGATTCTAACAATTTCCTGTCATAGATCATATTTGAAGTATAAGGTTTGAGTTGTGTAGGATTTGTGACAGTCATTTTTTGCAGATGCTTAGAGTGTAGTCATTTCAAGAATCAGATCCAAAGCTTAAAAGAAAGATGAGTGGCTTCAAGGAATGAAAAATATACGGAATCAATAGTTGGTGGCAGTAGATTAACTTAAAAATTACGAATATACGAACTTATGATGTGAAAGTTAATAATCGTATATATTGGAACAACAGAATACTGATTACAGCTAAGAATAATGATGATGGCAACAGGTAACAATCGTCTGACACTGCATATCTTTCAATGAAAATCAGTTATGAAAATGAGTAAAAACAGTCAATCATTGAAATTATCTGTAAGTAGGAGAAACCATATAGTATATCAGTTCTTCTTTATTTCAGAAAATATACATATACATGTATTAAATATAAATAATTTTATAATTTTCACAAAATTAATACGATTCTGTTTATACAAGCTACAAGAGCTTATGATAGTATATCAATGAAGGATCTACCGCGTCGAGATCGACAAGGTATATATAAGGTTGTCCTTGAAATTGTCTTTATATGAATAACAGAACTATACAAAGGAATGCTCACAGAAAGAAACTATTGCTTTAAATATATAACAGTTCTATATATAAAATAATTAACAATGATCGTTTTAAGATATTTATAATATCGACCTTTACCTAAGTACATGAATTTAGCCTTGAAGAAACTGAATAGGAAAATGCTTAGTTATTTTTTAGTTCTTACTGTGTAATATGTACATGATTTAATCCAGTGAATACTTTCGTGATCTTTTTTATTGATATTAAAAATTTTTTTGCAACCGCAATATTTCTTTTAAATATTTTTAGATAGAAATCACATCCTGAAAATTTATAAATTTATACTTTTACTTTTCGAATCACTATTTCTAATAAAATTTTATCAGCTTTCAGAATCAGACCCATAAAAAATTCTCACCAACAACCCTGATGTCATTATTGTTGGATCACTGATAGTTGAGAGTATAATGTGAAGTTTCCTGGCAACATTTAGCGATCCGCACTGAATGATAAGTGTTGCTTGGTGAACTCAATGAATGCAGAGATTGGCGCGGGTTAAAAACTTCATACAACATAATTTTCCTCAGCTCATAATAAAAAAGTATGAAATGAAACCTCAAGGCATCACCTTTATTTTCCTTTTTTGTTAAAAAGGATCTGTTAACGCTTTGATGAATTTTCAATTTTATCCGTTTTTTAGATCTTCATTATGTGTGCATTGACAAAAAAAGGCACAAATTGCTTTTAAAAAATTTTAACGTTTCGTCCTGCCCAACACCAAATTATTATCTCCGAACTGTCGAAGTGTCAGTAAATGCGTATTTTATCAAATTTAATGTTTTTAGTGCGTTTTTCTTTTTTGTATAATTTCTTCGGAATTCACTATTTACTACTCGACAGCAATTTTAATCGTTCCAGTAATTAAGTATCTGCGTTCCTGGCATGAAATTCTCTATTTGCGCTTCAAGTGTGTTTAGTGACTGTTTTGGTGTTTATTGTATCAGAAACGTACGACAAATACCGCTTAAGCTGAAGTCCGGAGCGGTTCCAAATATTTTGGTTGCATTTTGTCACGTTTTAATGGCGACAGTAGAGTTTTTTTTTTCGACTGACACTTTTGTATTGGTTCTGTTAGTCAAAATCATTTGCCACCGATTAAATGCGTATCTGAGCATATCGTCATTCACACCACACGATTTGGTATGGGCCTTGCGTTTCTTCCTAATGTGCATGAGTAATCAAATCTGTCTTAGTTTTAGGCTATATTTTTGGTTACATCTATTGTTGTTATTCAGTTGATGTTTATTAGAAAAAAATTAGTTATTCCGAGTTGGTGTCAGTTAAATTGTCTACTTTAAACTGTTTTTTCGGTTTTACATATTTTTGATAAACGCCGATATGAGTTCATAAATTACAAGTTACTTAGCATTCGTGAAAGGTTCCAGAGCGGACCATTATTTGGTGTTGATTTTGCTCGATTTAAAGTGAATTACTTTTTACATTTGAATAGTAATTTTCATTTCCAAATTTACATGAAATGTGTACAATATATAGTTTCTTCAAGTTTAATGATAAGTTCTTAACTGTACTAAAATAAATGGACGAGTAGTATATCAATAACGAACGTGAAGCTTTATGAAGATAATGCTGCCTTGAAATATATAGGTATATTTAACAGCAAAGTTAAGAAGGTTAAGGCACTTGTCATCGAAGAATTTTTTTTTGAAAATGACACGCTGAGGTGAAATTATTCCATTTTGAGATCTTATGATATCTAATGCCCGATTGGACTTTGTTGTAATAATGAAAGCATAAGATGCAGTGCCACTCGAACATTCGTTATATAGCATTTTTCGATTCATCTTTCTGTAAAAATTTTATAATTTATAACAGAGTGACGTAGCAATGCAATGTTTTTGCAGGTCACTAAAGTTTTTAATTATGTGTTATGTTGTTAATGGATGTCATCTATTCTCTAACTCCCCCATGCCCACAATTTTTACTCAGCATATGAAATATAGATTTATGTCTTTCACAAAATCAATATTCTAATTTACTCTACTGAAGTTCATATTACCAATTATGATAAGCATATCTCATAGTACAAAAATTTATAAATTAAATAAATTAATTTTAATGTGATTTTGTGCATGAATCCTGTGCTTGTTAACATTTCCTTTATGTCCTTAATCTATACCATTCGTCTTGTACGTAGACATTCAAATATGTACGAACTTAGGCTAATGCGTTGAAAAATATCAGATTTCAACATACAAACATTATTAATATGAAAATCTTTAAAATATTATAAAAATTTACTCGTAGTAGGGAAAATCAGCAGATGCTTGTACTTAAGAGATTTCACACAAATGGGAATGCAGGAACATTTCATAAGGACATGTGAAAGTGTGTTTTATTTCCTCATTAATTTTAAAATTTTTCTAACATATCCAACTCTTGTCGAGAGTATTTCTTTACATGAGTGTGGTTCATTCCGGCGTTGTCATGCAGTGTACATTGCCTGCTGTCAATGGATTCAGTCTTGTGTGCTGGGAACAAGTTCAACTCCTACTTTTCTTTAAGGCCAGGCATTGACACCTTTTTTTGAGTTTTCAGAAAACGTATTTGCTTTTGCTGAGCATTTATGAGGCGGATTATATTTTCTTGATATATTGTCACATATTTGTAAGTTTCTTCTTTCTAGTTAAAACATGATTTTGGAAGGATATGTAATGTGTTCCTACATGTATATATGATAATGTCATCATATGATGGTATGTACTTAAAATAAAAATACAAGTCCCAAATATGATTTAACATATTTTTGTTTGGTTAAAGCAAGATAGGAGATTAAGGTAGGAAATTAATATTTATTTTTAGACAAAAGTTATCTTCAAAATTTTTTCATAATTAATTTTAATATTTTGTGATAAAAATTAAGGATTTTTTTCTCTGTCTTAATATTATCAAAATACATAATTTTTTCCTCCAAATTTTTGCAGTTTATACTATCAGTTTGTATGTGAATCTCGGCAAATGAAATGAGATATTAATTCCATATTACCGCTTTTATTTTTTGGGCGTTAGATCTCACTGTTCACAAATTCCTAAATTAAGGTCTTTCAGACATTGAGTTTTCTCTGTTTATTTTCAAGCAGACAAGTTGTCGCAGGAATTTAAATGGAATTATCAGAATGTTTCGAATTTAGATTTACCTAATCTAGAAAAACCGTGTAGCTTTAATTTAGATACCAGATCATGTAGAACAAAGGCAAAGCAAGTACGAACTACTTAATTAAAATATGCCAGGTAATCTTTTCATAGTCCCCATCAATATGAAAAATAAAAAATCCTATCAAAAATATATTAATGGCTTAATAGGCAGGAATGATTTTTTTCCACAAGAGAAAAGGATAATCAACCTTTAACTAAATGAAGTGAAATTTCAACGCGAAAGATGCAAAAACTTGATATATCAAAGTAGTTATGAAATGTCTGCGGGCCAGTTTTTCAGAGGATCGACGGTACTATCCGAAAAACTGTAAAAGTTTTGTAATTTGTATATGTATATGTAATGTATGTAATGTAATGTATATAGTTTTTATAATAGTATCTTTCTTAGATTTTCATTTAATGTACTTCGCGAAGTGAGATCTCAGACACATATATAGAATCAAATACTTAAGGTTAAATCTATTTTTCTTCTTCTTCACTACTTTATCATATTACCGATACTTAGTACTGACGCATTTTACTTAAGTTGATAATATAAAAACATTTTTCAAGTATAGAATATAAAAAAAGTATCACAACCAATTTTTAAAGTTCAAATAGTATGAAATATATCTGTATATCAGACAAGGTTTTATTGATTTTGTACTATAAACGTCTATTTATATCTACATATGATCCACTTTTCAAAGGAAATCATTCTAACGAAGTGCTTGACTAAGAAATATTAATATTAAATAAGAAAAATTCTTTTATTTTTCTCTTTTTATTTTATTTATTTGATATGAATTAATGTTTGTAACATTTTATATTAAATATTTTTTAATTGGCAGCCTTAGGTAGCTCCAAAGTTTTTGTATTCAACATTTTGGGTTGAAATTACTATTGTAGATTTAAGAGATCTTGCAAGGCGTGTTCTTATTCATGGCGTATACTTAATAAATCAAGTTGATTTCTCTAAATTTTATTATATTATAATCATTTAATTTAATTTATACGAAACTTTACTTACTGCATAGTAGATCTCCATTCAGTGGAGATATGTATTGAACAACGTGTTTGCAATATTGAAAACATCTTGGATGCTCAAGTGACGATTAGTAAAGAAGTACACAATATCATCATCCAATTCGGAGATAGAATCGAATTCATTCCTTTCTTCTTCAGTAACCAAAGTGGTGCACCGATGTTCAGGAGTGTTTATGACTTCAAAAATATTCAACTCATGCATGTCTTCCTGCTCGGCTTGGCTGAAAACCAGAATCATTTTTGGAAGAGGAATTTGGTTATTCGCGGTCTCGATCATGACGAAAAGTTTTTACCTGCAAAAATTTTTTAATATTATTTCGATCTTATCAATAAATACTTTATTTGAATACTACAAAGATTCTTCTATTATGATCAAGCACAAAAATTATTTGAAGATATGAAAATTTTATTTTCGTTTTAAGAATTTTCAAATAAAATATTTTCTGTTTACTATGATTGAAAAAAATTACAATTCCTAAAAAAAATCCGTATTTTTTTCTTAAACAAATATGTCAAACACTTAGATGTTTTCTAGATATATTAGCGTGAATAAAACAAGTTAATGTTTTCTTGCAATTTAGCTAAAAGTTACTGCGAGGGATCCCCAGATCTATGCGTGACAGCTTAGGACCAATCAATTCAAACTAATAATAACCTGCACACTTTTCAATAGCTACATACCATATAAATACATAGTATACCTATATATTTAGAATTTTTAGCATAAAAAAATTTTTTTGGTGTATTGCAATTTAGTTAAAAAGTTCTGCAATGGACCCTAAGGTCTATGGCTAGCAGTTTGTGGTCAACCAATTCAATATAATTAACAACCCGATCCACTTACTTTTTATATCTAATTTTATTACGCTTATAGCGTAAAACTTACTGCAAATGTTATCCTAAAACTTGACAGGAAAAATTTGTGGAGCTGTGATGTCCAATTTGCAGAATGAAATAAAAGTGATATGAGTATTGTCATATAAATATTATTTTGAGGATTAAAAAAGAGATTGCCAACTGTCATAATATGTCATTGCCATATCAAATACAATTATTTTGTTAGAGCTATAAAAGCATTAATAAATAATTTATGATATTTTATTTTATATAGGTAATTCGGGTCATACACATTTGAGCAGATTTCTATTAAAATTATATATTTTATATAATTTGTAAATATTTAATAACTTACAAATATTGTTTTAAACTTATTTGCCACGAACATGGTTCCATTTTTCATTTGTCTTCCTATTTCAAATCCAGTTCGTTTGTTTCATTGTTAAAAAGTTGCCAATTATACGTTTAATTTTTCTAAATGTTTCGGGTCTACCGATTATTTTCTTTCAACGCAATATACTTATGCCGAGACCACACCTTTTTTTTAACTCCTCAATCCTGCCGAAACAGTGTCCCTAAGGCGATTTCTAAATATCTAAAAGTCACACATTACTAAGTCATACGATGAATACGATGATTGTGGAAAGATATGAATCAAGTTTTTAAAAAAATAATTTAAAGAACGAATCCAGTGTGAGATGGCGTAACATAGGAGATCTAAAACCGAGAGTTATCTGCCCATAATTATGGACTATTTCAGTGAATCTTTACAAGTAAACGTTGCATCAGACTCAAATAAAAAGCCTTATTGACAGTGTGGCTCGGTGGAAGAAATTCATATTACGGCACACCACATTAATCGAAGAAATCTGCATAAATAATGTTGATCTTTTAACGACTTTAGCGCAATATATTCGGACCTGACTGATTGATTGTTTTCGGATCTTATGCATACATCCAAGTCTCATTTCCCGTAATGGTCATGATAGTCAGAAAATACTGTTTGGCAGACTGCAACGCTACGTTATTTTTTCATAAAAATTCAGTACTTTTAACACCAAATGAGATTTCACTTTCTTTTAAATACAAAGCATCATTTCAAAAGGTCTGGACTAATCCACAAAAAAAAATGTTAATAGTATCAAGCTAAAACCACAAATTGCAATTTGTAATATTTATTTTTTGTGAGTTCAAGAATTATCAAATTTTGTTGAAATTATATTATATTATATAGTTTAGAAATCAAGGAAACGCCTTGCTAAACAGTAAGATTGACAGGAATAACAAATACATGCCATCGGTTTATTTAAACAGTTATTTTATCTGTTACAATTTTATATATGATAAATGCAATTACTTGGCTTTTACAACTTGTTGTTACCAGATTCGTACATTCTACAAAATCACATTTTTATAAATTCTCTTTATCATTTTTCTTTCGAATATAATAGGATTTGATTCGTTACTTCAGATGTTTTTGAGTCTTATTGTCATTTCTACTACATATAACTATCGATCACATTATTTTTTGTTTTGACTCGGAACCATCTTCGAACCTTATCTATAACGAAGCTGTTTAAGTATTCTATTATACGAATTTTGGATAATGAGAACATCGATTTCATTTAATATGCTTTAATTAAACGTATTATAGAGTCTTTATTTGATAACCGCGGCAGTTGAACCTTCGAATTCTATAGGTTTCATCTTCGAACCTAGGGGCTCATATGCTATCTAAGGTATAATATAGATTAATATAAATAGATCAATATATCTAACTGTATTAATTAATATTCATTGAAAGCGAAAGTTGTGGAGTGATCAGAAGTATAATGAATGTCTCTTTATATTAAAGTAATAACAATTCCACTTTACTCAAGTATATATTATAATAATTCCATTTCAGATTAAAACTTTTTTGTTATCTCTCTCAAGTGCCGTCGTACTAACATAAATAGCGTAGTTCTGTATGGTCATAAATCACTTTGATGCTTTGACATCATAATTTTCCCTTGTTGCCCTTTTGAACTTTTATTGCAGACTAATATCAATTCAATTGAAATTCATCATCAACATTTGCATTTCAATTGCAAATCAATTTACTTCAATTGTCAACAACATTGCCGGCAGACTAATAGAAGCGCTGATACGTTGCTGCAGCAACTCTTATTGTTGTTGCTGTTGTTGATGCTTCCACTGCCAGCAGCATTTGTTTTGCATCAATAAAGTAATTTAGTTGGCGCCACTAATGCATTGTGTCTAGGTACGATTCCTATGATACCGACGATGCCGATTATTCCTTTGCAGCAACAATTTGACTGTTATGCAAACAGACTCCGTGGTGTAGTGTTACTGCAGCTACTGCTACTGCTGTGATGTCTCAATGTCAGTTACTTGCTGCACTTGACTCAACCCTCATTGCACCGTAAGATGTATTGACTCAAAAAATATCCCTAATAATAAAAAAAATAGCACTGCTTTACATGGCAAATGGTTGCGTGCCTGCGCTCATTCTATGTTATCAAAGGGTTAAAGGGTAGAGTAAATGTCTGAAAAGCAAAATAAATAAGCGGTAAAAATAGCAGATACGAGTGATATTTTTAAATGCAATTGACAGCAGATTGGGAAGCTGCATTAACAGTGATGGGTGAAATTGACACACAACTGACAATGTACACACAGACTGAAGATTACTGGAGTGCCGCATTCTGCACTGCCTCCAGCCATAGCAGAGCCACATATCGAAAGGTACGAATGACTAATAATAGCCCACATCATGGACGTGCATGGATGAGGCTATTTAAGAATTATTGATATTAAATTAAAATCTATATTTGTGGTGAAGGAGCTGTCATATACAATTTTGACAGCTGCTGACAGTGTCAATCGGAAAGAAATTTTCTTCAAAATACAAATAAAAATAAAATGTGTTAAGATATTTTTATTTCATTTACATTAACCTTTCATCATGGCTATGGTATAATATTATCTTTTGTTATTTTTATTCGATTTACTTTAGACTGAAATTATACATTTTTGCCCTTTATAAAAATTGACTTCGTCATGCATACTATGTACATTAAAACCAAATTACTTCTACGTCGAAATCGCATTAATGTACAATAGATACAATATTTTTCTTTCATTTCAATTGTATTTAGTGAAAGTTACAAATATAGAAAACTGAAAAACTGAACAAGCAAAAAATATCCTATAAGAAAAATCCTTTGAATTTGGCAAACAATGCTTGACTTATGGCAGTGGTTAAATTGGCTTGTAAACATTATAATGTCTAAGCATAAATTCATTTCAAATGTAATGAAATAAAATATAGTAAAGAACTCAGGTAAAATATTTTGCTAAATAAAAGAATATCAGAAAATGGTGAGACTATAGTGACTGTACAAAGTCCTCTACAATCAGCATTTCAAATAGATAAAACAGAGAACGAAATTCAACATATTCAAATAGTTTAACTTCAAAGATCATGCTTTTGTTGATCTTTAAGCTCAATTTTGAGAGGATCAAGCTTCCACCTTAGAATCGGTACTTCTCAGAGTTAGCAATATGAGCAACTTTTTCTACTAAGTTGTAACTTAATATACCTTATTTCTCGACACATCAAGATACTTTGATTGCATCAACAAAACTTTGATTGCACTAATAAAAACTAAACACGCCATCTAATGTAAATTACTGCAAACAATTTTTAGATTAGCTACATAAACATTTCCAACCTTACCTCGAAAACTGATATTTATAGGTATATAGTGGAGTAGAAATAGTGGAACAAAATAAATGTCTTACTTAAATTTCCATGTGGGTATTGCTTTTTCGGAGGTCTTTGAAATAGATATTCTTCTACCAGTAACTATTACCCTTTTTTTGATGAGAACTTTTTTAAACAAGAATTTCTTTAGGTGTGATAAGGACTGGAATATTACTCTGGAAGTTGAAACAATATTTAAAGGTGTTATAGGAACCCATAAGTATATGGAACAAAATCGGGAAAATAGTCTATTTGATTCAACAATGCCTTATTAAATTCACTTATTTTAGCAATGACTTTCTGAATTCTGTGATTATGTTCAATACCTTTATAGAGAGAGATTTTTTTTCTGCTGTTAGTTAGTTAGTTGGCCATTACAGACGTGTGTCGTCCTTGGCCGCGTCGAGTAGCCTCCGCCAGTCAGCCCGATTAGTTGCTTTCTGACGTCAGTTGGTAGTACCGAGCGCCCCCAAATCGTTGGTCACCTGGTCCTTCCACCGAAGATGCGGACGTCCTCTACCGCGTTTTCCACCTGCGGGTACCGAGTCAAATACCTTTCTAGCTGGAGCACTTTCTTCCATTCGCACGACATGACCAAGCCAGCGTAGCCGCTGAATTTTTATGCGCTTAACTATGTTAATGTCGCGGTATAGCTCATACAGCTCATCGTTCCATCTAATTCGATACTCGTCGCCAACGCGTAAGGGATCATAGATCTTTCGAAGAATTTTTCTCTCGAATGCTCCTAACGCCTTCTCATTACTGTTGGTAATTGTCCAAGCTTCTGCACCATACAGCAGGACAGGCATGATAACGGATTTGTGAGCGTGATTTTTGTTTGTCGAGAGAGGGCTTTATTTCTCAATTGCTTACTTAGCCCGAAGTAACATTTGTTGGCAAGAGTAATTATTCGTTGAATCTCTAGGTTGACGTCATTTTTGGTGTTTAAGCTGGTTCCTAAATAAACAAAGTCTTTCACAACTTCGAACTTATAATTGTCAACAGTAACGTAGGTCCCAAGACGCTCAGGAGATTTGTTTGTTGACAGAAAGTACTTTGTTTTGTCCTCATTTACCACAAGACCCATTTGCTTTGCTTGTTTTTCTAAGTTGGAAAATGCCGCACTGACGACGCGAGTGTTCAGACTAATGATATCAATATCGTCG